AAAATAAAATAAAATAAAATAAAATAAAATAAAATAAAATAAAATAAAATAAAATACAATCCTTGGACAAGATGCAAAGCCTGCCGAAGTCATTGTCTGAGGGAACTATAGACTTACAGAGTATTTCTCAGCCCAAAATGCTCCTTACCTCTTGTTGGAGCCATGGGTTTTGATGGGTTCCGCCTGATGCAGGGATCAACCCTGGGTTGCAGTGCTGCCTGGGATCACTGGAGGGAAACAGGAGAAGAATAGAGATTCTAGGGATCTTTCTTATTCTGGTCTTCCAGGTATTAAGGATGTAATAATAGTCAGGAGCTTTAGGAGGATGAATGACATGATAATGGAATTGTCCTTTTCCCACAGTTCATCTACCTATATCAGTACTGGCTTCTATCATCTTCCAGCATGTATCTGCAATGTCCTCTACTGATAATTTGTTTAATTTCCAGTGGCTGTGACTTTTGTCTGCTTGCTCACTTCCATGCTAATATGATTCCTCTTGGCATAGATACTTTTGATGAACACGACCACATTGTGTTTCCAGTCACATTCTTGATGCATCCAGAAATCACAGGAGTGTTCCCATAGAATTTAATAACCAGAGCTCCCTCAGAGGACAAGGTCCCCTCCAAGGATGAGACATTTGATAAGGAGGAAAGCTGAGTGTGTGTTTTTCCAAAGATTCTAGAAGTTTCTTCTTTCCCCACTTAATACATGTTAAGAAAAACACCAGGAGATTGTATGGAAAGCTGTTATCTGCTGTATCAGCTGTGCAATGGACCTTCTGCATTTTCTGGGAACATATACTATACTCTCTGCTATTACTCAGCAGTTTGCTTGTACTAGAATCTATGCTGAGCCTATGGCCATTTTTTCTGCTATAGCCTTGCACCTAACTCAAGTAAGGTTTTTTGAGTGATAGTGACAACAAGACCTAATTGAGGAACTTGATTTGTCAGAGCATTGCATAGTTTGCTGTAACATTGCTCCTGCAATATGTGGCCCGCAATGAAGTGATGGAGAGATCTAAGCGAGCAAGTACACAGTCTTTTTCCCAGGAAGAAACAAACTGTTCTGCACATATCAAACAGAAAAAAAAAAAAAAAAAAAAAAAAAAAAAAACCAATTCCTTGTGTTATCACCTATGACTACCAATCAGCTCATTTGATTCAAATCAAAACCTCTCTAGGGGTTCTACCATATGGTTGCAAGTGCAAGAATCTCACATGAATCTGAGATGCTCGAAGTCGTCACAGTGTAAGACACTACCTTATTAATTTTTATATGCCAATTTCACAAGCTGTAAATAATGGAAATTACATTTATTACCAATTTTAGTAAAGATCTTAAAGATCTACAGAGGAAAATGTTTGTAGTACCAAAGATTGTAACTACCACGTGAAAATATCAAAAGAAATTATTGTCTAGTTATTTTGTACTCATTCCCATCTGAACCTCAAATGTGTGACATCCCACATAGTATTGGAAAACATATATTTTATTTTTCCATAGCAAAAACACTAATCCCTCATTGCTCCCTGCTTCCAGTGACTTACATTAGATTTGATAATTGTAGGAAACAATAAGAATGAGCTGAGATAGATACAGCTTACTTCTCAACTCCACAACCAACCTCTCTGGTTATGAAGAGTGATAAGTAGATAATATTGTTCCTCAGATACACTCTATTGGCTATGCTTTTCCTCATAATGTCAGAAAGTAAGTGTTAACTCCTGGCATTATTTCACAGCAAAAAAGTTTTGTCATTCTACTGTGCTAGAAATATCGGCCTAGCATCAGAACTTGTTACAAACGCTGCTAGTGGCTTGGTTATCTTGGCTATTATTTTTCACACAAGTCAGCAGTAGCTTTGCAAGTATGTGTAAAAGCAACAAGAAAATGGATTTCCAATTTGAACTGTACCACCTTCATGAAATAAAGAAAAGCAAATGGATTTACAGTATATAAAATAAAGTAACAGAACTGAGCATAAAGAATGACATCAAAATTCTAAATTGTGCTTTTCAAAAAAATGGTAAATGTTATTTTCAACTATTAATATTTTAAAACGGTGGACTTTTTCCCTCAAAAAAAATTGTCAAGTTCCAGGCACTGTTCTCTTTTGTTTTTGTTGAGTACAATCTTCTCGAACCATCTGAAGCAAAGTCATTAGTTTTACAAAAAGACAACTGAAAAGAAATTCAGCTCACCTTCACAAAATAAGGAGTTCAAAGATCAGAAATGTAATGGCAAGTCCTTCAAAGGATGTATACATGAAGCTATATATACTGGTAGCTTACTAGAAACTCAGCTTCCCCTCCTTTCTCTGTTCTCCCTTTGATCTCAGTCTAAACATCAGAACCTAGTTTTTAAAAAGACTTGAAGTGCCTTTCATTTTCTCTCAGCTGCCCGAGGAACAACAACTCCCATGTCTTACATGAAAGAATTTATTTCTCCCTAAAAATAAATTCAGTTTCAAATGCCCCCCACAAAGAAGTTGAAATAATTTCCTCAACTTTGGGAAGACAAAAGAAGGTAATTGCATGGATAAGCCATTACCTACAGCAGGAGGAAAGGCGGAGGAGTCATTACAGACCTAGCTGGAGCAGTAATAGAACATTTCCAGCTTGTCATTTTTGTAAGAAAGGAGCACAGTTCATATGTGGTAACCTTTGTGCTCCTCAGACAAGGATAATTAACACTAGCAATGCTGGCTAAGCTGATACCAGTTATAATCTAATAGTAATACTTATCCCTTGAGTTTTTTCCCCTTTCTTCCTGTAAAAGCACTGAAACTATTTGCTAATTCAAACCATTATTTTTCTCTTCTGAGCTAACATTGTTCTGGGTCAGGTACATAGCATACACTTTTGCCTCTAGCATGGTTAATTTAACAGTCATAGTACATTTCTACTGCTCACAAATGCACTTTTCTTTACTCACTCTCAGTCATGAAATTAGTCAGATGGGGAACATCAACAAGCGATGAAAAATCCTCCAATTTTAAATTCAGTCCAGCTAATCAGCTAAGGTCTACATTCTTAGGTGCAATAGAGGTGCTTTTCAGATTTCAAGAAGGTAGAATCATGAGAGAGAATCACCACTAATATTTATACATGTAAGCCAAGATAACATCTCTCCAATTACTTAGATTTTCTTTTATATCAGCATGGCTCATTGTGCTGTGACAACAGACCACCATTGAAAAAAATGCTGACATCCAAAACATGACAGTGTTTTCAGCTGTTCTTTTGTATTTTTGAGTATATCTTTCTTGAAAAGGTCTTTTCACTCAGAAATCAACAGGCTTTAATGGAAAGTTTTGAGGTGTCTAGAAGGTGAAAATTCTTGCTTGAGAACAAAGGATAAGAAAGAATTCATAAATAATTATTTGGTACAATTTAAAATATTTTTAAGACTGTGACAGCTCCTGATTTTTTTCATGATTGATGTCACTAATATGAAGATATGCAAAATGTTTTGACATTTCTAGCTTGAGCCCTATTATACATCCTGTGTACTGTCTCTCAGAGGTGCATTTTGGCACACAAGGTTCTCTTCCCAGCCAGGAGCCAGATGGACCACTCCATGAGCCTTCACAGTGCAAATAAAGTTTGGCCCAAAAAAGACTAACGATTGTAATAGGGAAATTATTGTAGTAATAGATAACAAAACAATCACACATGTTGTTTCTAAGCTGTGTTTTTATTAGAGACTTATGCTGTTCCTTGAATTCCATAAGAAAAATGTTTTCCTTAAGAGGGTAACAGTGTAAATGTGCTGTTACGAGATTCTTTGTCTCAGGATTTGCTAACCTGTTTTCTCTGTACCAAGATTGCAAAGAATGGTCTCAAACGTGAGAGAAATCTCATTTATGTAGAAAATCATAGTACTTGGCCCTGGCTTGACCTTGGCCATTGCTCAGCAAAAGTTAGTAACACCTCCACTGCTAAAGGAAACATGCTCCAGCACAAGAAACATCCCGCAGAATCTTTGTAATAAGAACTTGAAACCCTTTAAGCTCTGGATTTTGGGCCAACTGCCCACTTTGGCACAACTTTGAATGACAGCAGTAGATAGGTTTGAAGATTGAAGAGCAGAACAGGCTGGCACACAACAGGAGGGGTGGAATAGGCAGGCAGATCCCAAGTAATCACTAGGTAGCATCACTTTGAAGCTGAACATCACCTGCAGAGACCCTGTCAGGGAGCTGGAGACCCTAACTTTCATTTATCTACTGTAAATTGAAAACAATAAATCCTACCTATTGGCGAAAAACTGTAAATTAACCCTTTTATTTATGTGTGTATTTGTATTATTTAGTGTGTAATTTCCTTTCTGTAAATTGACCATAAGAAAATGACCAGTTGCCATGCCTTAAACAAAAGCACTCTTCATTGTCTTGCAGCAAAATCCTCAAACTGAGATTATGAAGGCCATCATTCACTAAATGCAGTAAGTTTATGAAGGATTTAAAGCAGCATGAGTGTATACACAGTAGCAAATCTTTATACCAATGGCTTTTGTAATCATTTTACAAATATCAGCAAAAACTCACAAACTGTTTTCTCTTTTGATTTATCTTTTCTTTTTTTAAAAAATGATACATATGAAAAAAAAAAAGTGTAAATCTTTTAAGGGATCATTCACTTGTTTTCAGTAAAGAAGTCACTTTTATCATAGAGTCCTACACTCATTTCTAGGCCTAGAAGAAATCAAATTTAATACCACTGAAGTCAACAGTGTTATCACATCAGGAGCAGATACTGGCCAGGGCTTTTCCAACAAGATGAGTAACTTGTGTAAATTGCCTCTTTATTAAGCAGATAATTGTTTTGTCAGTTACTTATTTGCCCAAGGATATAAAGAAGCAAGCAATGTAAGGACAGAGAAGTAAAATGAGAAGGAACTTCCTCAGCAAAGACCCCTGAAAAGCAAGACTACAGTGAATGCCTCAGTCTGAGAGGTACAGTGTCCCTCATTTGCTGTATTTGATTCTGCCTGCTTACAAATCCCCTCTAAGTTATCCTAACCATAAAAATTTTTTTTTTTTTTTTTTTAAATAGAGCTGCTTCACTCCCAGCAGATTTTGAGCACTTCAGCCTTTTGATATTCGGCAGCTAAGGGGACCATGAAAAGTCTGAAGAGTCATCAGGACTGCTGGAAGAA